GGATTGTCTGGTCCAGATTCGATTCTTTACACACCGCCGTCATATAACTGGAATATTGTTGAGTGTAGCCTCAAACAACAAATAAACACAATAAGCAACTCGAGATTCGGAATGACGGATTAGTGAATGAACGCTGTAGGTAATTCGTCAAAGGCTTGGGATTAACACCATTCCTTAAATCGGGACAGATAATCCGTAATTCAAGTTTTGGATGATAAAACCTATTGTTCAGATGACGTAACGTATCAATTGGTGACGTCAATCATTATGTCCCATAAAAGCAATGCACATCGCCTCAGCCGACCAATCAAGACAGAATCGCTTAATGCACGCAAACATATCGATAAGTACACGTGTGGTCAAACTGATTGATGCGTACAGGCTGCACTAGCGCTATACAGACACTTACAGTAAATTAGAAACCCGTGAAAATCCCGTCTTTAGATGCTTATCGTAAGAGGCGACTAACGGTATCGGGAGGTCAGGCTCGCTGACTTAGTTGATGCATGACATTTGTCTTTGAATCCCAACTGCGTAGATTGAAGCTTATGACGTCAATCACTGAATTGCCTGGTTCAGGCTGGATTATTCACAGACCTCCGTCATAATTATAAGCTGAATACTACTGTGTGCGGCGTTAACAAACAAAGTAAATTGGCTTTGTGTAAAGGCGTACACGACAAGCATCAGCACCGTGAGTTCTTACACATCTAAATGCGCCAGTTCACGCGGATACGCGCCCCGTGCACGATAAAGACGGGTTCCGCCCTTTTGTCGGAGGTTGCTTCCGGAGGACTTAAGATGCTGCATAGTCGTCTGGCAGAAACTGCTGCTGGGGTTACCGAGTGAGATTTCTCTGTGATACTATGTAAACGAGCAACTGTTGTTTAACGCCGCAATCGGCAATGTGCCACCATTAAGATCCAGTGACCTGTTGGTTGGTTGGTTGGTTTGGTCTGTTGTTTAACGCACTCAGCAATATTCCAGCTATATGACGGCGGTCTGTAAATAATCGAGTCTGGACCAGACAATCCAGTGATTAATATCATGAGCATCGATCCACACAATTGGGATCGATGACATGATGCATCAACCAGGTCAGCGAGCCTGACCACCCGATCCCGTTAGTCGCCTTTTACGGCAAGCATGGGTTGCTGAAGACCTATTCAAGCCCGGATCTCCAGTGACCTGTAAATAATCGAGCCTGGGTTGTAGGCAACCAGTGACCGAAAGTATGAGCAACGATCTATGCCAGGCAATATATCAAGTCACACCTAAGTCGACTCTTGCATTATGCAGGTAAAAATATCAACTTCCGAACCCCCAAACTTTACTATCAAAAGATAGTATACCTTTGAAACATTAAAAAACCCATTAAGCCCTACTTTAACCCGATAACATCGAGTCGCACAGCACGGGGAAATGCTGACAAACCAAGATATATGAGGGCGAATCGTGATTCGAGCCCACAATCACAGATTCCTGGCACATCGAAGGGATGTAACTCTGTACCATATCAATACGACGTGCATGCTATACGGTACGACTCCCATAACTCGCTTTGGGAAAAATAATAAAATATGACCCACCAGGAGAAAAGGCACCTTGTGGGTGAAAGAAAACAAGTGTGCTGTGACGTCATAAAGACGCTTTAACGTCAACTTACTTCAGTGAAGATCGCCTTGTGTGTCGACTGTACAAAAATATTTTATTTCTCTCTCGTTAGTTCGTAATGTTATAAAAACAATTTCAAAACCTTTCAGCTTAAGTCTTTTCATCTTCCCGAGGCAAGCGTTTCCACTAGCCTATATCAATGCCCAGTGGAGTGAGTGACTGAGTTTGGTTTTACGCCGCTTTTAGCAATATTCCAGCAATATCACGGCGGGGGACACCAGAAATGAGCTTCACACATTGTACCCATGTCGGGAATCGAACCCGGGTCTTCAGCGTGACGAGCGAACGCTTTAACCACTAGGCTACCCGACCGCCCCAATGCCCAGTGTAAGCAAGACTTTGATAAAAAGGCTGGTGGACGCTCTTTCCTCACGAAGATGGTCTACTTTCAATTCATCAGACATATATAAACAGTTTAAACAGTAATAAGTCGGAAAATGAGTTCAAATATTTGATGCCATGTTTTTCGGTAATAAACATGAATTGAAACTTGTGAATTGTGATTTCATTCCTGAGATACTGTAGTTTTGAAATATAATGGAGTGAGTGAGTGAGTTTGGTTTAACCCCGCTTTTAACAGTATTCCAGTCATATCACGGCGTGTCAGCTTAATATGGGAGGAAAGCCCGAAGTGATGCAGGTCTCAGACGTTTACCACTTCGGTGAAACCCACCAGCACGGGTATGGTGCTGACAAACCTAGAAACATAACTGGGGCGAACCGGGATTCGAACCCACAATCATAAGTTTCTGGCGTGCCCAAGGGCCGCAACTCTGAAAATATAATGGACATGTTAAAATGTGATTTTTCACCCATATGGTCCCTTATCTCACTGTTGGTCACAAATGTCTCCAAACACTGACTTCATTTGTAGGAGTGAGTATGGTTTTAGGTTGCTTTTAGCACTATTCCAGCAATATCACGACGGAGGACACCAGAAATGGGTTTCACACATTGTACCCATGTCGGGAATCGACCCGGGTGTTCGCTGTGATGAGCCAATGCTTTAACCACTAGGCTACCCAATCGCTCTTTCATTTGTGAGACAGGTTGGCATGTGGTTTCAGAGGGGTATTGTCCTTGACACATCGTGAGTAACAAACTCACAAGATTCATGTGTTTTGTATAGGTTGATCAACGACGTAAATATAGGTTAATATTTTCTTTCATCCCATTAAAGAGGGATTATCTCCAGTCTTGTGACCAGTGTGAGCCAAGACATTGTAATTAGAGTGAGTATGGTTTTACGCCGCTTTTTAGCAATCTTCCGGCGGGGGACATCAGAAAAGGGCTTCACACATTGTACCCATGTCGGGAATCGAACCAGAGTCTTCGGCGTAACGAGCGAACGCTTTAACCACTAGGCTACCTGACTGCCCCCGCCTGAGTCGTGTGGAAACTGATATATTATCCCTTGTATGAAGTGCCTAATTGATTCGGTGGTCAGACTCGCTGACTTGGTTCATGCATGTCATCATATCCCAGTTGCTGTGCATCAATGCTAATGATGTGAATCACTTGATTGTCTGGTCCAGACACGATTATTTACAGGCCACCATCACAGAGCTGGAATATTGCTGGGGTCGGCATTTAACAACAAAAGGAAACCTACATAAACGTCCCGAACACCATCAATCAAGCATCAAGGAAGTTGAAACTGGGGATATTTGGAAATGTGTACATCAGGCTTCAGAAATGGGTCCTTTACAATTACCTACTTGATACGACCTATGGATTACTTAACATTGGTGTGGAACAATTGTGAATTTCGATTGAAGCTAACAGTAAGGTAAATCTACCAGTGCTGGAAGGAGATTTTACCTGGTTGAGTCAAAGATCACAACCTTATGTTTGTTTGTCTGTTTAACGCCACACTCAGCAATATTCCAGCTATATGATGGCAGCCTGTAAATAATCAAGTCTGAACCAGACAATACAGTGATTGACATGAACATCGATCCACACAAGTGGGATACGATGACATGCATCAGCGGAGTCTGACCACCCGAAACCGTTAGTCGCCTCTTACAAGCATAGTCGCCTTTTATTGCAAGCATGGGTTGCTGAAGACCTATTCAACTCCAGATCTTCACGGGTCTCACAATCTTATAGACTTTCAATAAATGTAGAGGTAGCATCGTTCTGTGCAAGTGGGACCATGCATACCCACCAGGGAGGAGCAAGTCTGACCCAGTTAGCACCCTGATAGTATCAAGGACGTCCATTATGTGTCTTGTTGAAATACAGGCTGAAGTGGAACAGTGGTGACCCAGCAAGTATCATCATCTGGGCTAATTTAGGATTCGAATGCACGATCATTGTATCCTTACATACCAAAGGGAAGCAACTATCCACAGACAATTGCAGGGCCATTGGAGGTTGAGCAGCCCCTGTTCCCTAATCAAATGGTGATGCACTGACACAGTAAAGCCATTACTTGAGTACATGAACCTTGTTTGATATTGTATGGAATAACATATTTGAAATCAGCCAATCAGGTGCCAGTACATGTCACCCCTAGCATGGGGGATGCTGGGAATTTTGTCCAACAATATTTACTGGAAACTAGAATGTTTTGTAAAAACAGATGTCTGGCCCCTGCCTTTTTGGATTTTTTTTTTATAGTTGTTACGATAAATAATAGCAAATTATAGCCTGGAAAGAAAATGTTTTTCTGCAGAAATATTCATTAGTTGTAGACTTTTGGTGGGAAACAAACACTTGTTGTTGGAGAGTAAGTCCAAATTGTTTTCATGGGAACACAATAAACAAATTTTTATTTTAAAAATTGAAAAGTACTAAAAGCCTGTAGTTGTGCAAGTGGTCATTGCACATGTATAGTTTCAGGCAAACATATTCATTAGTTTCAGAGTTATTTCCAGGAAACGAAGTCTAGAGTTGTTTCAGACTAAGTTGAAATTGTTTCCATGGAAACAGAAAAAAATTAATTATTTTGAATTATCAAAAGGCACCAGTTAAGCTGAGGAGCAATGCATATGCCAAGTTTTGTTAAAATATGTAGAAAGGTTTTCAAGTTATGGCACTGAAACGAACCCTATTAAGAGACGAAGTCTAAATTGTTTGCATGGAAATAAAAAAATATAAAAAATATTTTTTTTTTTTTTTTCAAAATAGCAAAATGTACCAGTTAAGTAGATGAGCAATACATATGTCCAGTTTCATTTGAAAAACATTGAACAGTTTTAAAGTTATGGCTTGAAATAGGTTGGGAATGCCAACGCCAATGTGAACCGAGTCAAAAATAATGTCTCCCCGCCCTTTTGGGGGAGATATAATGAGGGCTATAGAAATGATGCCAACCAGTGTATGTTTTCTGTGTTTATTTATACATTGAAAATATACCTCCCCTTCTCAACATCATGGGAAGATTAATTCAACCGTCTGGCAGTTACAGAAACAGGCCTCAAATTGTTAAATTCAATCTCATCAAAATAAGATCCCATAGCAATAAACTCTTATGTCTTATGATCTGAAACCAACTCGACAGGAAGTTGAGTCAGGTGAACCAATCAGATGTCAGCTTTCTAAAATGAACCTGCTCAATTTCTTAACCAGATGGTACAAATGAAAACACATGCACACTACCAGTAACACAAATATTCCTTTAATGGAACTCCCCAATGGGCATAGATCTGAAACGACAGGATATACACAACCCAGCCTTATTTATCTACATTCAGAATTTGTCCTTTTAGTTCATTTTCAAGATACACAAATTAGATAAGCTGCCCTGAATGCTTGGCTCGTGTGTCCAGAGTTTAGAGTCCTTGATGCTGATTGGCTGGTTAGAAAGGTCACCTGATACAACCTCATACGGAATATGTAATTTTAATGACATTGGTGTTTCCATGGCGATGTACAAGTGTGACACCAAGTAGCACTATCTGTACAGCATGATACAAATCAACTCCTATATACAACTGCTTCCTGCTCTCGATACACATCTTTAACACAGATGTAACCATTTGCTTCTTCAAAATTCCTTCTTAATGTCTGAAAATAAACAAAAAACAAGTCAACAAAAATTCCAAGCTGATACATCCTACAACTGGTTAACAAATACAAGGTGAGACAATAGACACAAAATGGGAGGGGGTACCAACAATATACTGACTGAAAAAGGCTGATATATAAATACACTAACTAGTAGTGAGTAAGTATGGTTTTACGCAATCTTTTACGTGACGTTTCTTTTGCAGTTCAGTATATTAAGGGTGACCCCCCAAAGATGTTTGATTTCTTCAACAATGTTTATATAAAGAACCCCTTAACTTTCATTCATTTCAGTCACTGACAAACTTAAAAAATATATATAAAGAATGAAATTTGGTTTGCAAATGTAGCATGAATATATATATAGAATTTTCAATTAAGAGCCTGTTTGTGGTAAAGTGGGAGTCAGTACATGGCTCCATCATTGCCAGCTCACCGCTCTGTTCCTGTAAGCTTCCCCGCCAACCTGCCTCCATCTTCTTCACAAACACATCAAAGATGTCGATGGTCGGACCCAGGCTGGTTCTCTTGTAGTCTGGAAATAAGTCACCAAATCTTAGGAGGATCTTTACCACATTTTGTTTGATTTTAGTGGACTGAAGCTCAAAACTGTCAGTGCTTGTTTGTAGAGAGTGAGTGAGTGAATTGGGCTTAATGCCGCTTTTAACAATATTTCAGTTATATCACAGCATTTCAGCTAAATATAGGAGGAAAGCCTGAAGTGATGCAGGTCTTAGACGTTTACCACTTTGATGAAACCCAGTGAAGTGATGCAGTCTTAGACGTTTACCACTTTGGTGAAACCCAATGAAGTGATGCAGGTCTCAGACGTTTACCACTTTGGTGAAACCCAGTGAAGTGATGCAGGTCTCAGATGTTTACCACTTTGGTGAAACCCACTGAAGTGATGCAGTCTTAGACGTTTACCACTTTGGTGAAACCCAGTGAAGTGATGCAGGTCTCAGATGTTTACCACTTTGATGAAACCCAGTGAAGTGATGCAGTCTTAGACATTTACCACTTTGGTGAAACCCACTGAAGTGATGCAGGTCTTAGACGTTTACCACTTTGGCAAAACTACAGAAGTAATGCAGGTCTTGGACGTTTACCACTTTGGTGAAACCCACTGAAGTGATGCAGGTCTTGGACGTTTACCATTTTGGTGAAACCAACTGAAGTGATGCAGGTCTTGGACGTTAACCACTTTGGTGAAACCCACTGAAGTGATGCAGGTCTTAGACGTTTACCACTTTGGTGAAATCCAAAAGGTTTGGTGCTGGCAAACCTAGAAACTAGGATTCAAACCCACAAGCATAGGTTTCTGGTATGCCCAAGGTACACAACTCTGTACAACTAATTGGGGTGCCTGAGGCGACTGGGCCACCTGTGCCCCCATGTCCCTTTGAGAAAAGAATCTTTTCTTAATAAGTAACAAAAATTCACATAACCTATATAACTATATAACTTATAGGTTAAGCAAGGAAGTACCTTTCTGTTTTTTGCCTGTTTCTGTTGTCACAGCCTCCGTCTTGTTCAGCTCCTCGAGGAGACCACTGAAATATGCAACAGAATATGCGTAACTGGTCAAGGTTGAACTTTGACATCGCTTGGCAGCCTCATTATGTCAGATGTTCCTGTAATTGGCAGTTACCAGTTTCCTTTCAATCAGTGGGGATACATATCACTACCAAGTGTTTTGAAAGGCACCGAAAACACTCACGAAACAATTCAATCTATTTACAATCAGATCTATACTACTAAAAAAAAGTGAAGGACCACCCAGTTATTTCATATGACCCTCAATAGGGTAGTTGAATCAATTCATGACAAACTGGGTGGTCCTTAACTTTTTTGAGTAGTATAATACTCAAACACCTCTCTATGAGAAGGTCTGACAAGCCCACTACAGGTCGTATCAGCTTTTCCTGATCAAACTTTGATTCATATCTTTACACACAGGTCCTTCTTTCACAAAGCCTTCTTAGCCCTACGATTGTTGTAGGTCTATGTTTAAGTATTGGAGTTACAATCGTCGTAGTATGAAGATGGCTTTGTGAAATGGAGTCCTGATTTAGAAATTTTGATCTTGACAAAAACAAACAACACACAACACAAATAAAGAGACATCTACCGTCAGGTCATGTGAGCTATCACTATATGGGGTCAAGGGCACCTGTTCCTTCAGGTCCAATGACCCATCACCTGTATGGGGTCAAGGGCACCTGTACCTTCAGGTCAAGTAACCTATCACCTGGATGGGGTCAAGGGCACCTGTACCTTCAGGTCAAGTGACCCATCACCTGTATGGGGTCAAGGGCACCTGTACCTTCAGGTCAAGTGACCTATCACCTGGATGGGGTCAAGGGCACCTGTACCTTCAGGTCAAGTGACCTATCACCTGGATGGGGTCAATGGCACCTTTACCTTCAGGTCCAATGATCCATCATCTGTATGGGGGACAAGGGGACCTCTACATTCAAGTCAGAGCAAGGGCACCAGTACCGTCAGGTCGAGGGACCACTTCCTGCGGGTAAACTGACCCATCATCTGTACAGTACAAGTCGACCTGTACCTACAGATCCAGTTAACAATCATGTGTATCAGGTCAAGGGACCTCTACCCTCAGGTGCAGTGATCTATCACCTGTCTGGTCCTACAGATTGATACACAAGTATCAACGCAGCTCCTTGGGATCCACAGCTGTCGCTGGACACGCACTTGTTATACGTCATAAGCGGACCTGTACCTTCAGGTCCAGTGACCAATCACAGCAAGGGCTCAAGGGTACCTCTATTCCTCACAGAAGGAGGGTCATTTGTCTTCTTGGTGTGGACAGACCCTCTGGCAATCTGAAGCTCAGCAGGCGACTTTTGGGAATTGACTATCTTTCGCCAAATACTTGATGACCTGTGAATAGCTCTTCAGCAACCCATGCCTGCAGTAAAAGGCGACTATGCTTGTTGTAAGAGGCAACTTACGAGATCGGGTGGTCAGACTCGCTGACTTGGTTGATGCATGTCATCGTATCCCAATTGCGTGGATTGATGCTCATGATATCAATCACTGGATTGTCTGGTCCAGACTCGATTACTTACAGACTGCCGTCATATAGCTGGAATATTGCTGAGTGCGGCGTTAAACAACAAACCAACCAAACCAACCAAACCAACCAAATACTTGATTTGATCTTTCAAAAGTCAACTTAACACACACCATTTGTTCAACTGACTGGTTACCTGATTGTGGGGACAGCAAACGGGCTGAACTTGTCTATCAGGGCAGGATCCATCGGGACACAGACTCGACCTGAAGTGATGGGAGTCTACATTACATGTCCTGTACCCGTGTTATATTGTCTATCCTGGCAAAGCTCAGACTCCGCAAGCAGGCATTGATGCAATATTGAGGAGGATACTAAACTTCATAGGAAGATGGATTATTTCTCAGTATTTTGGGTCTACATCCAGCACTTTCTTGAGGCGAATGAGTAACCATGGTGACAAGAAGCTGACAATCTCACCCCCTAGCCAATGACAATCTCAACCCCTTGCCATGACGATCTCACCCCTAGCCTATGACAATCTCACCCCCTAGCCCATGACAATCTCACCCCCTTGCCCATGACATTCTCAACCCTTTGCCCATGACAATCTTACCCCTAGCCTATGACAATCTCACCCCCTAGCCCATGACAATCTCACCCCCTTGCCCATGACATTCTCAACCTTTGCCCATGACAATCTTACCCCTTGCCCATGACAATCTCACCCCCTTGCCCATGACAATCTCACCCCCTTAGCCCATTACAATCTCACCCCTAGCACATGACAATCTCACCCCAAGCACATGACAATCTCACCCCTAGCAGATGATGAACTCACCCCCTAGCACATGACAATCTCACCCCTAGCACATGACAATCTCACCCCTAGCCCATGACACCATCACTCCTGGCCCATGATGGTCTCACCCCCTTGCCCATGACAATCTCACCCCTATCACATGACACCATCACCCCTGATGGTCTCACCCCCTAGCCCATGACAATCTCACCCCCTAGCCCATGACAATCTCACCCCTAGCACATGACACCATCACCCCTGATGGTCTCACCCCCTTGCCCATGACAATCTCACCCCCTTGCTCTTGACAATCTCACCCCCTTGCCTATGACAATCTCACCCCTGCACATGACAATATCCCCCCTGGCCCATGGCATACTGGGCACATGTACCTGTTTTAGGATGAACACAGAATGGACTCTTGAGAAGATGGTTCACCCCTTTGCTGACGTTCACATCAAGTCGGGGGTAACAATATTGTAGCAATATCTCCTCCTTCAGAAATCGAAGTTTCTTGTTCCTGTATTTCTCCTGAAACAAACAGGATGACACCTGTCACCAGATGTAGAAACTGCATCAACGCATCTGCCTGACCCAGCGTGACAGTCTCAAGATGCTCCAGTTCAACCTGTCTACTCTGTACAGCAATAGAGTACTATCTGCCATTGTTATTGGAATGCTTTGGCTGAGTAGTGAGTGACTCAGTTGGGTTTAACGCCGCTTTTAACAGTATTCCAGTCATATCACAGCATGTCAGCTTAATGTGGGAGGAAAGCCCAAAGTGATGCAGGTCTCAGACGCTTACCACTTCGGTGAAACCCACGAGCATGGGTATGGTGCTGACAAGCCTAGAAACATAATCGGGGCAACCAGGATTCAAACCCACAATCATAGGTTTCTGGCGTGCCCAAGGGACGCAACTCTGCACAGAGAATCGCAGTGCCTTAGACAACTGGGCCACCTGTGCCCCCCTTTGGCTGAGTAGAAATTTCTAATTCTTGATAGTTTCCTTCATGGAATAAAGGGGCGGTCAGGTGGCCTAGTGGTTAAAGCATTCGCTTGTCCCGCCAAGGACCCGGGTTCGATTGCCCACATAGGTACAATGTGTAACGCCCATTTCTGGTGCCCACCGCCGTGATTTTGCTGGAATATTGCTAAAAGCGGCGTAAAACCATACTTCCTCACTCACTCACGGCATAAAATGTTCAGGTGCTTTTCTCATATAGAAGACAATTGTGAAGGTCCTCCACAGTACATCGTGAAGTGTTAATGGGTACCAGTGTTTTGATGAGGAATTTATCTAGGATTCCAAACTAAATGCCCTTAGCAGGCAAATTGGGAAATATAATAATATTTTTTTTAAATTGGGATTTTTGTTTGAGTTACTATTTTCTCTAATAAAGAGGAACTTAACATTGCATTCACTGTAATAGTGTGAAACTAAGCATTAGAAACTTCTTCCTTGTTATTGACCCTGTTCTCATTGAGATACAGGTCCCCAATACAGAGCCATAACATTAGTTGTCCTTTGTTACAACTATGACGATGAATTGGGAAAGTTTTAATCCCAATTTAGGAATTTGTACTGACAATAGACTAGGGCCGAATATCGGCCTCTGAACAGGTGAAGATAACTCCCTGTTGATATCTTGAAGTTTATTTGGAATTGGTGGCAATGGAATATGGAGTAAGAAGTCAAGTCTTTTCACACTCAAGTCAGTTCCGATATGACATTCTGCCAGACAGATCTCAAATCTCACCACAGTGAGCGACTCCTCCACCCGTCTGACCAGGATTGACCACCGGTTGGCCGAGTTGGTCCCAGAATTCTTAAAATCTTCTCTCAGTTGCTCACGGAACTCTAAAATACAACGAATATATTGTCATTGTTATATTCAGGAGGCCTCCTGACAAGAAAAATGTTTTCAAATCTGTGAAATTGTGGCACACATAATCCTGCTGACCGAAGGGTAAATTTAGTTAGGGATTGGCAGACAAATCTTTTATCAGAATTTGGTGGGAAGGACTTCTTACATACAGTGATCAGCAGTATTAACAGTAAGTCTACTGGCCCGAACCTGTCTCCCCGAACCTGTCTACTGGCCCGAACCTGTCTACTAGCCTGAACCTGTCTACTAGCCCAAATCTGTCTACTGGCTCAAACTTGTTTACTAGCCCGAACCTGTCTACTGGCTCGAACTTGTCTACTAGCCTGAACCTGTCTACAAGCCCAAATCTGTCTACTGGCTCGAACTTGTCAACTAGCCTGATCCTGTCTACTGGATCGAACCTGTCTACTGGATTGAACCTGTCTACTGGCTCGAACTTGTCTACTAGCCTGAACTTGTCTACTAGCCCGAACCTGTCTACTGGCTCAAACTTGTCAACTAGCCTGAACCTGTCTACTGGATCGAACCTATCTACTGGATTGAACTTGTCTACTAGCCCGAACTTGTCTACTAGCCCGAACCTGTCTACTAGCCCGAACCTGTCTACTGGCTTGAACTTGTCTACTAGCCTGAACCTGTCTCTTAACATTAACAGTGAATATCAGTGTTATGGACTATTATTAGCAAAGCTTACTTGACCAAAATCCACTTTACTACACTTGGACAATGGACTAGAAGCTAAAGTCACAGACTGGTTTACTGTTACACCACACTTTGACCTGACCTGCGTCGGGGACGAGAGACAAGACCTTGTCCCATCTCTCCTCTGTGTCAAGGAAGTCTTGGCTTTGGCATGCGTAGTCCACAAAGTGCTTCTCAATGATCGTCAGGGCACGCCTGGAACAATAACATAGCCGTTACTGAGAAAAGATCCCCTTTAACTCATGCTTGTCATAAGAATCTACTAATGGGATGGAGTGGTCTAGCTCAGTGACTTGGTCGATTGCATGGCTTTGTTACCAGACGATGTCAACTGTTGCTCATTCTATCAATCACTGGTTTGTTTGGTCCAGACTTCATTATTTACAAGCACCCTAGTTCAGGGGTAGATTTAACAACAAATTTGGCTTGCTTCCTTTTAAAGTTACTGGCCCTTCTCCAAACTAACTTGCCTACAATTAAATGGTGGAGGTTGTGAAGTTTCCTTACCCCTGAAACGCCTTTTCTAGCACTCTGAGATTAAATCGATGCTTCAATTTGCCTCAATCTGTGGTGATTTATGAGCAAATAAAGCTGTGTTGTACACAACATTACAAAATGGCGACTGGTTGTCATTCTACTGAGATGATCAACGTACATCTTTCTTTGAGCTAAGCATTCACAAGACCTCACTCCCCCAAATATTTTCTTTATTGAAATTACATGATTCACGAGCAGTATCCAATTATAAAAACTAAACATGCATGACGACAGATTTTGACTAGCCAGATGGGCCATCCTCGTTATGTTTCAGCAAGCCCTTGTTAATTTGAACTGACCACAGGCCAACAGTTAAATCAACCCCTGCTGCCTGTGGCGTTACACAACAAACAAAGAAACAAAGAAACAAAGAAACAAAGAAACAAAGAAACAAACAAACACTTTGCTGGAGCTAGGTCAGCACTTAAAAGCAGACAGCAATGTATGATTTACTCACTTCACAGAAGGATGCATCCGTTCATCAACTGTCACCTTCTTGGTTTGATTTTCTCCACCCTAAATAACAGAGGAAGGTGTTACCTACAATCACATGATGCAGGCAGCGTTCACGATGTCCAGCCATACTAGTAGGACTTTCCTGAGGCAAGGGCTTTAACAGACTATAAAAGTCCAGTTTCCATGTTAACTCTCTTGCCTTGGGAAGATGGGACTAAAATGATCGTCTAAATCTACCATAAAAGCTTTACTTGTGAAAAAAGGAAGACACTATGATTGAGCATTATTTATTTACATCTATGTTGTGTTAAATTGATACTCTTTGTATGAACTTGATAAACAGAACGTGAAACAACAGTCATCAAAAATATAAACATGCAATTGTAAATATTGAATCACAAGCCTGTACAAGACAGAAGGATTGAGAGGTTGGATCAGAGTTTGAATTGATGAGTTTTTAGGTCCTTGAGGTTAGCTCCAAAAGTATTTTAATCTTTGGATTCCCTCGATTTTTAATCATGTTTTTGGTTGTTTTGTTTCCAATTAGATTTTTAATCTTTAACTTTAGGCAAATGACAAGGACCTGTTGATTTCATGCTGTTTCAGATTCAGTGAATAGTTGCCGGTCTAAGGGAGAGAAATTTGGATGGCAACTTCTTTATTTAGAGGAACACGAAGTTTCGGAGGTATAGGTTTACAGCTCCATTATTTCACCTGATGAAGGAGAAGCATTTACTCTGAAATGTTGTGTTCCTCAAAATAAAAAAGTTGACATCCACAAATTCTCCCTCATGGGTATCCCTTCTAAATGCCATTCCAAGACTTGCGTGCTGGTCTGTCGGAAATATTGCTGACAGGCAGCTAGATGACACATGACAGGTCAACTAAACAAAATGTGACATACCATCCCATTAACCTGTCTCTGCACGTTACCTTGACAACACTGAGGTACTCGGCAATGGCGGATCTGGCTGCCTGTGAGAGTTTGCGTGCTCCCTCGTCACACACCCAGCAATGGATGCCTCGTCGCCCGGAGTACACCCATAACAGGTGCTCGTACCCAAAGTCATCTGGAGAAGAAGAATATTTTAAAGTTAGTTTGATGGTTGTTCAATGTTGTTCAATGCCACACTCACAATATTACAGCTATAAACAAGCTTGGACCAGGCGATGCCGTGATTGTTATTGTGATCAACAATTTGCACTGTCACTGTACGATGACACACAATCAACTATGTCACCAGGTTTGACCACCAAATCAATTAATTGAGCAGCCTCTTTCGACCAGCATACACAGCTAGGGACTTCTTCTAACATGTATGTCAAAGGTCAAGGTCATCTTTGAGGTTATTGTGACAAACAAACCTCAAGGATGACCTTGACCTTTGATATACATGCCATAAACATTTCAAGTAGTAGGATTTGTTTAAGAATAAAGATACATGTAGTTTTATGCATGAAAAGGTGAAAATGAAATGATACAATTTCCATAAAAACTTGAATGCTGACCTTGCCCTTTGACCTAAACTTTTTCAAAGCCTGTCCCCATCTTAAAGAATGTATATACCAAGTTTATGCCAAGTGTTTGAATAAGGTGTAACCACAAACCTTTAAGTGAGATTCCTGTCTCATGACCTTAACTTTTGACCATCTCATAGCATGTGCCAAAGAATTCATTAGGTGAAATATGTGGCACTAGTCCCTTGTGGGATATCTTGTGGTATCAATAATCTTTACAGTGAATTACACTATGTTAAACTTAAAGTATGATACAATTACCTTCTACAATGTTTTATTGAAGGTGACCTTGACCCTTGACATAAATGCAATTGTCATGTAATGTAAGATTTGTTAAGAAATATGTAAAAATAGACAAGTTCCTGTAGAGGAAAGCATACCTCAGAACAAACAATGACATTACCATGATTCCAAAAACCTAGATGACCTTCACCTTTGACCAAAACCTCAAGCAGGGCGCCAACAATGAGAAGACATATACTTCGATATGTTTTTTAGTTCTTGTGACCTTGACCTTTTCATGAAGTGTGTCAAAAGAATTGCCCATTGTCATTTGGAAGATGTTCACGGCAGACTGACGCGTAACGTTAATAATCTTTGTGAAGTAACCATTAGAAAAATCACTGACAGCGGTCAAAATCTCAAAGCAGACCCATTTCACAGAGCTAACGATTATATGATCAAATAAAAGACAACTCTTGAAGAAATGATAAACTGATGCTACTTCATTCACAGAAGAGTGAAAACAGAGCTACAGAGAAGCAACGTTTTTGCGTTAAATACCCCCCCCCCAAATATTCAAAACCCAATTACTTTCAATTAACTTTGCATTAAATGAAAAACTCAAATTATAAAAACAGCACGCCAAAATACCCAATGAAGATTTTTCAGTATGCATACAAGGGAGCTAATTTCCGAAACATAATTCAGAAAATAATTTACTTTCCGAGTCATGCCTATATATTTAAAATGTTCACTCTTTGGGAGAAAAACCCAATAGAGTGATGAATCAATGTGTGGAAAAATATTGGCTTCCCAATGAAAAATGTAAAAACTCAATTAAAATAGAAACCGTAGAGTAAAAACTCAATTGCTCGAAAAGTTATCTGGAGCTCTATGAAAAAGAGGCTAAGCATAGAAATCATGTACGAAGAAGCCATTAATATATGGGACATGGCTACCTCTGAGGGCTGCGTCTAGGATCTTCACAGCGATGATCATGAGAGGCCAACACTTGTCACAGATCTCTGCACCGCTGCAACACAACCACATTTCTACATCTACATATAAGATAGCTAAGCTATAAATCGCAAAGAACAATGAAGAATGAAATGTGGTTTATTTCACGATAAAACATTGTTCTGGCATGACGTCTTTTATGGAGATTCAAACATGCGCTCACAACTTGATGAAGTCATAAACTGGACGACATTATTTTTGAGAGGGATGTAGCTGGGCCAAGCAGATATATGCTATGGCTGAACGATCACACCCGAAAGTGGGCGAGATACGTCCATCTGTGAAAATTGTGAGAATACCAAACTTAACCACCACCACCCCCCACCCCCCACCCCCCACCCCCCGTACATAAAATGGACTTGTCTGAAATTGCCGAGGTCAGATTGTATTCAGGGAGTAATCCTTATTTACATATAGGAAAATGTTCTTAAAGCTTGTACATTTTACAGTCATCCTTAAAAAGGCTTACAAAATGTTGATATCTCATATATGAAATAATCGTATAATAAAACACTGCAGGAAGAATAAACCACACTTCCTGGTTTATTATCCCTGCAGAGTTTAATTGTACATTAAACAGTTCCCACACGTCGCTTATTTGTTAAATACAACCAACAGGATGAAGGTTCTATACACAACCAACATGGGGGTGGGGGGGGGGTGGGTTCAGCCCCTCCATTTCTACAATTTGAATCCCCACCATTGGAGAATGCTTCCAACCAAATATAGTTGATAACTATCTCTTAGTTCCAGAGAGAAGTCATAAAAAGCAGTAATGCCAAATAACCCCTCTTTGGCCCCGCCCCTCAGGGGGTCAGCCCCACCATTTGTACAATTTTGAATCATCACCACCAGATAATGCTTCCAATAATTTGTTGACGGACGCCATGATATGTCATAAGTTCACCTTGGTCCTTCAGACCCGGTGAGCTAATAAATATTAGTAACACTATTTGTTCCTGAAACATGAGGACACCCTCTGTCTTCGCCTGGTGTACTCACGAGCAGCAGTTGCGGACGTCATCGTAGTCTGTCATGTCGATGTCAAACACCAGCTCCTTCTCCTGGGCCTGGAAGGAGGCTGCCTTCACAGTCTTGTGTTCCTTGGGCTGCAATAGTCACAGCACTCCAGGATCAACATGCTTAGAGGTCAAGTTAACATTGAAATGGAGAAATTTCGCAGATGAAATATGAAAAATTACAAATTTAGTATGAACAAAATAAAATTGCCGATACCTTGATATTACAACAGATGATGACATCCCCAGGGTATACTATTGAGGGTGTATTTGTGTTAGGTGGTGGTTTTCTTTCATTAGATGGAAATTTGTGAATAGAGGTGATGAAGAAATTAAATTAAATTAAATTAAATTAAATTGATGCAAATTTCTTCGAGGGTTCCTCAGATCTCCGTGCGGGGAGGTTTGTCTGTTTGTTTGTTGTTTAACGCCACATATAGCTATATGACGGCAGTCTGTAAATAATCAAATCGGGACAGACAATCCAGTGATTAACATCATGAACATCAATCCACGCAATTGGGATCGATGTCTCATATAGGAGTTATATATCTGATTTGAATAAGATTGCTTTACAAGTAACTTGCAAACATGGTCAAATGGAGATGGCTTTTTAAGTAACTTGCAACCATGGTAAATAGACGCACCTAACTCTGGCATAATGTTTCAGACTTTGGGGTTATCTCACCTACAATCTGACCTTCTCTCTACACGCAGAGTAACATAGCAGTATCTTCCACCATCGTGGTAACTTTTCAGAAAGACATATGACAAGGCCCTGTAACAGGATTATTAAACAGTGGTAAACAGATTGGCCGTGTCACGACTTACCCTGTGAGAAAAGATAGCTCCAATATCAATCTTGTATGGACATCGCTTCTGAATCTCTTTTTCCAGCTCCTGCTGATCTGAGAACGACTGGTACCGAATATACACATCATCTTTCAGAGTGAAGGAGAACTCTCGATGTGTGAAGTAGTGTTTGGGCACTGCAACATAAATGTGACAGAATAATAAAATTAGCATGGCAACATCACTACACCAGAGGCAATATATATTTTGTCATTCATTTCTATAGTTCATGCAGCCTGCGCTCGCTGCATGCTTTACAAGCAGAAGAAGATGACAACCCCCTCCACCCCCACGTTGAGAAGATGACAACCCCCTCCACCCCCCCCCCCAGCCTTGGAACCTAACAGTTTCAGTCTACTAGTCCTTATAATGATAACATGTAGCAAAACCCCTAAAAATGGCAAATTTCTACTAGTCCTTATGATACCTTTAGTATTGGGAAGTTTGGCAAGGACTACAGGACTAGTGCCATGCCAATTTCTAACGCTGCCCCCCCCACCCTCCGTGTCCCCTACGAGAGAACAAATCATCTGACTGCAGGAGTTAAAAAATACCATTGCCAAGTAAGGGCAAGTAATATACATATACATTTTCCATCATGCCTGTGGACAAGCAGAGTACACAAAATGAACTGGGTCAAGTTTCACGAGAATGTAATCATGTGATCATGTTACGATATTTCATTGGCTAATATTTTGCTACTGTCCAAGACGGGCAATCTACTTTGCATACAGTTACACCAGTCAACCAATATAGGATTAATACACTTCAATGACAGGCGGGTCATCAATGAGAACCAGGCTTGTTTGATTGATAAATCAGTGTAACACTTCCATATATGGCACACACTTCTTGGAAATTGAATGACAGAAAGTTAACTATATTTGTTTGAATTTGTAATCCGAATTAGCTCCACTGCTGACTTTTGAAGCTTCGTTTGGCCTAGCTTTGAAAAAATATTTTATTTGAATACACAAGTCACTGTCAACGCTCACCCACTCCTGATCGTGAAAACTTTGTTGACACATAGGTCAAACGACAATAAAAGTGACTTTTAACGAGTCAAAGTACAGCACATATGACATATAACTCCATTCCCTGTCAACTAAAGTTTGTTTCAAGGCGTCAATAGGGATAATCTGACCGTGGTTGCTGTGAACTAAGCCGGAAATACAAATCAGCTGTATGGATGTTTTCTCCAATCTACCAGTGTTTCAGCTAAAAAGTACCCAATGATACAACTTCAAAGAATTTTGACGAATGGTTGAAAGAAATTGTACCTGAAATTATTGTTTTAACAGGAGTAATATATTCCAAAATTGTGTTCTTTTACAAAATGTTAAAAATTAAAAGAACCATAAGCGTAGCACTTTGGTACAGCTGATTGCTATTGCAGGATGTTTTAGCATATGGAACAATTTGGCCAGTCACCGTACAGGGACTTCCAGGGCTACATGTGTTTCGATTGCAAAAATGTTATGTTGACATAGTAGTCAAATTGCCACAGTAGTCAAATTGCCACAAATATGACTTTTAATGAGTCAAAGTATGGCATTTTATGATATATGTATCCATTATCTGGCAGCTAAAATTCGTTTCAAGGAATAAGCATGGCTAGTGACAACACAAGGGTGAGTTCGCTTTTAAAATGTAGCGGGTGAAAGTGGCTTGTGTGAATGTTCCAGGACAGTTTCCAGTTTCGATTCCAAGCAAGTGAAGCAGGGCGTGGAGTCATTCCACAGATGACATCCTTACCTTGTCAGCTTGCTGACAGGGTTAACCTCTTTGGTCATGTGGACAAGGCGTCCGACTTCTGATCAGAAGGTCCGTGGTTCGAATCCCATCATGGGACTCGAAAATTAATGTCCGCAACATTACCAACTGAGCACGTTCATATTACATTTGAGCAAAATAAGCCTCAGTACGGCAGTACCCTTTTATGGCCGCTACACAAGCATGCAGAGAGCAGCCAGTCGACTGCCAATATTGCTCATATTTTTTATCAACCGAAGTTGAAAATGTCATTTTCAAAAGGTCAAACGTACCTCCGCCATAATGAAGCCACCTATAGTAAGGACCGTAAGGAAAAAGCCTCTTGTAATACATGGGCAGAAGATCAGGCAACGAAGCAGGATCATAATTGTGTTTGATATCTCCCATCGTTGTTGTTTACAAATAGGTTACTTTAGCAGTACGAAATCTCCCGCCAAATCGTCAGTTTACGGCAAAACTTCCGTTTGATGCGTTATTGACATTTAAAGCATTAAATGGACATTATAAAACTACAATAATGGAAATCAAACCATTATAGTTTGATTAAAGTCCGTCAAATCATTTCTAGGTACAATCTTTAGTTGTCGTAACGTTTCACGTGCGGCAATATTTGAAGTCTCCTTACAGACATATTCATTAGGCTTCGCTATGCCAAAGCCAATGTTAAAATCGTGAAAGGCTGTTGAGAGTTCGGTAAACTCCCCTCCCACATTTCCGGGTTTGGACAAGATTGTGTTTCTTGGCATTATCACAATCACATTCTCAAATGGTGATTTTGTAAGTGGTAGCTAGTTTTTGTACCTTCCGATTGCAATCATGAATTAATTGAAATACCTTTTGATTTTATTTGTTTACGTGAATCTTTCTCTGTTGGTAAGCATGTCAAGGGGAATGAACTCTGTCACGACTGTTGTTCAGTTTCAATATCTGTAAGATTTGATCCTTTGTACCGCTGTGAAAATTATTTTCAAACAAGGGAACACTTATCACCACATACCACTCCGTATGTAACTTATTCAAATTTTAATAAACCAAGTTGAAAACATTTATTTAGGTTATAAAGTGAAATGTTTTCACCCCAGTGCTGAGGAAATCTAAGTCATGTATTTATAGCCTACCTACTAACCTGGAATATGAACTTCTTTTGATTTGCCCAGAAAAAGTGTTGATATTTAAAACTCAATTGAATGTATTAAAACCCCTGAAGAGAAGTCTGATATTTTTATGCATACATCTTACTTTATAATAGAGTAAAATGATAAGGCTACTAGAGATTACATATGCATCAAAGAAAATCCTGATTTTCTTGGGCGTTCTTAAAAACTTAAACTTAAAAAAAAGTTTGTCAGTTGTTGTTTTTTCTATGCAAGCATTCTGACTTATTAAGTCAAGATGTTCTTGATGGAGGCCTGCTATATTTTGAGACTGATTTATGAGAGACAAGACAATTTAGCTCTCCTGGCTGTATTGAATCCAGTGTATCCAACTTCAAAGATTTACTACTGCGTTTTTTTATCTATCTGGATCAATCAACAACATTTAGTCTTAAAGGGACACTACATCGACGGTTCTATGTGTTCATAAATCATGCATGAAATATGTTCCGAGTGTGTCGTCACATGCCCGTTCAGTTATCAAACCAAAACAATAGAGCTCCATACAGTGAAGCCAATAATGCAAGAGTTGCACAGAGAAAACTGGCTTCAGTCTTGTTTTGTTATTATAGGCAAATTGAAGAGAAAGCTGTTTATTTCTTGAGGCTGAGTTAAAACATACTTATTGCCAGTTTGATTAGATTGGAAGCCAGTGTTTATCAAAGCCTAGATTAGAAAATGTATGAAGTTTACAAATCTATACAAATTACTGCACAGCAATTACAATGGCAGTACACAATAGAGTGGTAGTACAATATTCAATGGCTGTATAAAATGTGAGAACAGTGGAAATGGTAATGACAAGAATAATAATCACCTCGAAGATAGGTCTAGGCTGAACAAAGGGTGAAAAGTGATGTTCACATGAAAGATGGTCTTGATGTAATGTGAAATGAGACAGGCACGTGCCCACTCCACTTATATAGCTTCCATCACTTTCAACACAGTGCTAGACCAGTCCAGTGTCACTAGAGCATCACAGAATATTCCACGTTTCTGACATGCTTGACATCCCTCCATGCTATTCCGGAAGTTTACAGATAATTCAAGCATCTAAACATAATAACCTCCACACCACTGCTTCAATTAAATAGTACTACATTCTTTACACCAATCATTGTCCATGCAATGAACTTCTACTGAATCTCAACAGAAACAATGTAAGTTACAATTGAGTTAGCTCAATGTTTAACAATAAATTAAACTGCCTTATATAACAATATGCCGTCGTTGTGTGAAGCCAATCACTCTTCTACCCAGGGTTCCTTGCGGCCAGCCGAGTACCTCTGTCATACAGTCACATCTTTGACAGTCCATTTATGTGTTTTTCATCTCTTTCATTTTGGATTTCGATAAACATACGTCATGAAATGTTTAACTGTCATGAGAACATATCCAAAAACTTGAAAAACTATTACCATTTGCATATATATCCTCTACGTCCTGTCATCGAAGCCCTACAGAGAGCTCGCGATACGGTCACTTTGTGTTTAAAACTATCATGTCTTGCATGTCACTGGTGCAGTTGTAGTAGTATATCTATATAATTATGCAAGACAATACGTATGGCACACCGAAAGGCTTGCACGAAGCATGCCTGGTCTTATTTGAGAATAAGTGTGTGATTACAAACAAGAGAAAAGTCTGGTCACATGATAAGCCCGTCCCCCGAACCCACACACGTTGCTATGTGGTGCATTATTTTTTAATGCAACATTAAAACCTCACCTCACCTCACCTCGACTCACCTCACCACACCTCACCTCACCTCACCTCACCTCACCTCACCTCACCTCACCTCACCTCACCTCACCTCACCTCACCTCACCTCACCTCACCTCACCTCACCTCACCTCACCTCACCTCACCTCACCTCACCTTATAGATTTGTAAAAGAAGTGCCCGTACCAGAGAAAGCCAGCTGACAAAAAAAATGTTAAAAGCTAAGGTCTGAGTCAAATATTTACCCAAACAAATTTATTTTGTAATAGTTAAGAATAAATATCTATAAAATATTCAAAATCAAAGGATTTAAGGTTGAATGCAATGTAGTCTTTTGATAACTATTTGTCATACATATTTGTCTCATGCCACATACTTTTCACAATGCAGTTGCTTTCTGATCAGTGCCACATTAAACAAAGATTTGATAGTTTATCAAATTTGGCAACATCTAGTTGGACTGAGGTCACATGTGACCTGGCCCAGGGACAGGCTGACTTAAAAGTGGAACAAATGTTGATGGAGTTCAGGTCAGTTGGTAAACAGGTCATATGTCAGGTCCCAGATCTGTCAGTATTCAAGGATTCAGGTCAATAGTGATTGATGTCATCAGTTTGGGAGGAGTGTGTAGACGTACCATATTTGCCATATTGCCCCTTGTTCCAATAAGCCCTCCCAAGCTAGACTTTTCTTTTTGTTGTTTTTATAAGCACCACTTACTGAGACAAAAGTTTACTTGACAGTCCATATTTTGTTGTGTACACACAGATGTGTGTCTAGTACACACAAATGTTAAGATTGGACGCAGAAAAGAATACGCAGCGCCCTGAGGGATGCTCAGTCATATTCATTGTACCTACAGCACATCAAGAGGAGTAATGGGTGTCTTGCTTCATCCATCAATCATGACCACTGTCCACATTATTATTGAGTGATTCCAGGCTCTCAAGGGCGGTCGGGTAGCCTAGTGGTTAAAGCGTTCGCTCGTTACGCCCAAGACCCGGGTTTCCATTCCCGACATGGGTACAATGTGTGAAGCCCATTTCTGGTGTCCCCCGCCTTGATATTGCTGGAATATTGCTAAAAGCGGCGTCAAAACCATACTCACTCACTCATTTTGTAAGTCAAGGTAAAACCTTGGTGTATATCATTTTATAGAAACAGAGTTGAAGAGAGGATATATATTTGGTCACTATTATCAAGAATGTTTTCGTTTCATATACGCTTGATCTCTGAAAATAAATATAAGTTGTTTATGTTTTTGATAAGTGTCCCCCTTTGTCAATTTTCTATGTGACCGGGGCACTTATATTGATTTGAGAAACTTTTCATTTGTTGATTCGGGTCACTTGTCTTTAAAATGGGGTCAAAGTTCTTATGATCATGGCTTCCTACGTCTAAAGGAGAGAGCGCACATCAGAGACCACCTTTTGTTAAGAAGATTCCAGTTTGAATTTGTTTTGTTAACTTGGTCTCATATCAGACTTTGTGGCTGATAAAATCAAAGATGTTTTGATAAGTTGATTTATGAAGATAATATTTTGCAGGGGTAAGTCGGTGACAGAACCTAGATGACAAGGAGTCGTGTTTATTCACACAGGGATTTGCTTGGTTCTCTCCATTGTTATGTCCAGGGACGCCCAGTAATAGATCTTTGGAGTCCAAGACATGGGGCTCAGTAGGGGACCCTGTGGACTGATACTTCACAGTTCAATCAGTTTGGCCTTCACTCTATGAAGGTTCATACTCCAGTGAACTCACACAAAGCATGCAAAGTGAAAGTGAATTCTTAATCATTAAAAATAAGTGTGCGCTTCAGTCACTTGGAAAATATTTAAACCGTGCCGGTACGATTTTAACTGTGCCATTATCACGAAAATACAAGGAATTCTGAACCCTGTCATGCAGTTGTGAATCCCACAAGACTCGCTATGTAAATTTTATGTCCAATCTCAATTACAGTAAACTACGTTTATAACAAACACGCTTATAACGAACTGGCGGATATAACGAACATTTTTTTTGGTCCCGTCCATTTGCTGTATATATGTTGTATATATCTTTATAACGAACTACGGTTATAACTAACTAAAATTTGTGGTCCTTTGAGTTCGTTATAACCGTAGTTTACTGGAGTACCATACTCGCTGTATTAAGCACCCCCTAACCGTCTTGCAAACCAGTCTGCCGGTAATTGTTGGCACCCCTATAAAACCAGAACATTCACATGACAGACCATATCTTCTTGAGTACATATTTTTACAGAAAACAGAAGTGCAAATGGGGTATACACTTGCCTTGTAACTATGATCAAAAAGGTTTTAGCTGCATCAGCGTTTGAGCTAAAAAGATGTTCGTTCAATGTGCACTCCCTTTTGTTATTGTTGCGAATGCGGTATGCATGTAGGATTCAATATATTTTGTGTGTGGTAAAACCCTTTGTATTCCTGCACTCAAGGTTCAAATGAGGTTATACCACAGGTGTTAAAACTGTTTGCACTGTCTTTAAAAATAATACTGTCAGTGAACATAGTGAGTGTTCATATATATATGCAGACAGTAAATGTGGCGCCTTGAAAATTAA